GGAGTTCTCAAAGATTATTGCCAGTGGCTCCGATATTACATTTGCCAGGTTTTTTTTAATATCCTTGGATCCAGTTCATCTAGTCTTGGAGACTTAACTTCATTTAGATTAACCAGGTATTCCTGTACTACCTGTTTACTTATTCTGGCTACATTTCCCCTATTGTGTCCTCTGCTCCATTTTTCTTCAAGTTGAGCACATTTTTCCTTTTGTGAGAATATGGAGGCAAAGAAGGTGTTGAGTAGCTCTGCCTTTTCTCTGTCCCCTGTTAGCATTTTGCCATCTTCTCTGCACAGTGGCTCTACAATTTCCTTCTCCTTCTTTTTGCTACTGACACACCCAAAAAGCCCTTTTTGTTGTTCTTAACCTCTCTAGCAAGCGCTTTAGCTTTTCTGACTTTACCCCTACATCTGCTTGCTATTTGTTTGAATTCCTCTTTCGTGATTTCCCCTTTTTTCCATTTCTTATACATATTCCGTTTAAAACGTAGCTCAGTTGTAACTTCCTTAGTCATCCAGCCTGGTTTCTTGAGACATCTCCCAGTTTTCCTTCTCATTGGAATAGATTGAGATTGTGCCTTCAGTATCTCCCTTTTGAGAAACTCCCATCGATCCTGAACTCCCTTCTCCTTTAGTATTCCTGACCATGGAATCACTCCCAGTGTTTCCCTAAGTTTGTTGAAATCAGCTCTCCTAAAGTCTAGAATGTGTGTCTGACTATGCCTGGTTTCTCCTTTCCACTGTATAAGAAACTCCAGGAGAACATGATCACTCCCACCTAAGGATCCCACCACTTGCACCCCATTGACCAGGTCATCCCTGTTGGTTAGGATCAGATCTAAAATAGCGAATCTTCTTGTTGTCTCTTCCACCTTTTGGACAATGAAATTGTCTTCGAGGTAAGTGAAGAATTTGCTAGCCCTTAGAGTTTTGGCTCAGTTTGACTTCCAGCAAATATCAGGATAGTTGAAGTCATCCATCAGTCCTACATCTCTCCTTTTTGAGTGTGTGGTCATCTGTTCTATAAAGGCATCTTCTAATTCTTCCATCTGACTTGGGGGTTTGTAGTAGACTCCCACAATAACACCTCTGTTGTTTCCCACCCTTTTAATTTTTATCCAGATGCCCTCTACCTGGCTTTCAGAACTGAAGTTCTGGACTTCTTCACTGGTGTAAATATCCCTGATATATAATGCTGTTCCTCCTCCTTTCCTGTTTGGCTATTTCTCTTTAAAATGTTATATGCCTCAATTACTACATTCCAATCATGAGATTCATCCCACCCGGTCACAGTGATGCCTATTATATGCCATTACCGTTTTACCTTAGACATTATAAAACCCCAGTGTCCATACATGATTTTATGCAAACAACTTGTTTCACCGATTAAGACCATGTTTGACTAAGTGCATGTTCCCCTTCCCCAATCAGTTGCTTCTAAGACTTGACTATCTTCTTGATTTGGACCTAGTTACGGAGAAACTGATTTCTTCTTTATAGAGCTATTTGGCCTTTGTGATCACCTGGAGAGGCCCTCCTAGCAGTCCAAAATGCTGCTGAGGTCTGCTGCACAGTTGTTCAGAGTAAAGCATTTGGTTTTGTGGCATCTGTTATGTGGGATACTCTTCTCTTTGAAACTGGACAGGTTTCAACAATTTTTGTTTTTAAATTTGTGTTGTCCAACCTACCATTATTTTGTGAACAACATAAATGTTGTATTTTTACTTTAATTATTATTGTAATGTACACTGTTGGTTTGAAATTTGCAGTTCCAAGTGGCTTAGCAAATATGTGTAAATATTTAATCAAATTTTTTCCACTTTTGGTCCTTCTGATTTTTGGTTGTTGCTCATGGCACTTAGCCCTTCCTTGGTCTGGACAATGTCCCTTGCCTTTGCCCCCATCAAATAGCAGGTGCTGACCTTCTGGGCTCTGAAACTCAGCCACCTCAGGCCTTTCCTCTGCTAAATCTTGGCAGATAACCTATTTCTAACATGGAAACCACTGTTGTGTAGGAAATCTGCTTGAAACGCACATGCAAGGCATTATGCCTGACAACTGCATATGTCTCTTTTACACTGCATATTTATATAATGCACATGCACACTGTCAGTCAACAGCATGATACATGTACACTCAGGGGAATATACACAAGTGTGCAACAGATATGCTTTCATATCTTTCCTATGTGGAGGTGACACTGTATATAAGAAATGCCTGGCATCTGAAGCAGTCTTTAGAGTACCAAGATTATATTGTAGATGCACATTGCAGATGCAGAGTGACTAAATAGTGACAGATAAATTTTCTATGCTCTTTGTTCTGAAGCAAGGAGGCCAAGGTATGGACATCTAGATGTTGCTGCGCTATAACTCCCAGTGTTCATTATAATTAGCCAAGATGGCTATGGCTGATAGCAGTTATAGCCCAACAATATTTAGAGGGCCATTCTTTGCCCTTTGCTATTCCAAACAGACTTTCACTAACCATCTGATTCCCTTCTTTTATGTATACATTATCTATGAACAATGGAACCGAAGCCTGCTGCTTTGATGAAAAAGACAAGAGAGCTTGTAAGGAGCATATCTCTTTCTAATATTTTATTGTATCCAATTCTGTTTGGGCATTTTTAGCTGTTCTTGGAGTACACAACTTGGTCAACAACCCCAAGTTTGATGAAGGAACCACCGGTAAAGATGGCAAAGGAATCGTGAAAAGTAAGTAAAGGCATTTCCCTGATGACTTGCAGGCACCCAACCAAAGCAAAGGATCTTATTGGACTTTTCATATGGCACAACTAAGGGACTTTACATATGGCACAGTTATAGCACTATGATTCCACTTTAACTGCCATGGCAACATCCTATAGAATCATGGGATTAGCAATTTTGGGAGGAGTCCTTGGAATTCTCAGCCAGAGAGTTCTAGTGCTTCACCAAACTACAAACAGAAGGATGCAATGAAATGTTTTCATGGGAGTTAAAGTGGAATTATAACACTGTAACTGTGCAGTGTGAAAGGGCTCTAAAATGTGATTGACGTCTACACTAATTACTTAATGAATACTACTTAATGAATAATTTGCATTTATAAAACTTTCTTTATGCCACCAACATGTGTAATACATAGGAGGCTGCCTAATATTAAGTCAGACCATAGGTACATCTATTCTGACATTGGAGTGGCTCTCTGCCTTCTATACATGATTCTTTTGATGGAATCATCAATGATTGACTCAGGGACCACTGATCTACAGTCCCAACCAATCTAAACAATTACTTGTAGGTCCTATATTGGTCTGACTCAGGCCTGATTTACTATATTCAGAATAGTGTGATGGAATCCTGAAGTCATGGTACTACTTCAGATGGGGGAGGATTTACTGCCTATAAGGAAAACTCTTCCTGCATGTAAAGCCAAAACCAGAGGAATCTTATCTCGTTGTATTTAGTGCTTTTTCTTTTTTCAGTTTTTCTTTAAAATTTCCAATAAGTAGATTTTAAAACGTAAGATAGCTTCAGAAACAGGGTCCCTGAACAGACAGGCCAAACTTTGGAAGCATGCTGTTTACCTGACACATGCCTCCAAAACATCTGGAAGTCACACTGAAGCTGTGGTCCATTCCTTAGGACCAGAGCAAAAAAAACCCCAACTCCTTTGGAGTGGGCTATGTGGATAGCGGGGTTCCAACCCGCTTCTAGCTGGAGCAGACCTGGGCTACTCCTTCACCTGTCTGCTCCACACCAATGGCTGAGATCCTGCACAGGAGATGTAGCGTAGCTATGACCTGTCTCCCAGTCCAACCACCTAAAGCCTGCCTTAAAAGCCAGGAACAGCACCAGAGAATCCTGTGAGGTCCTGTCATAACTGCTTATCACACCATGATTCACTGGGGGGATGGACCCATCATCCCACAATGCCCTGATCACCAACACTGTAAAAGCCCTGTAATGCCCTGTCTCTATCTAACTCAATGAACACACTTCAAACCAGAAAGAGTTTATTGCAAAGATCAGCACAGTAGTATATCCTTTGCCAGATCTGTTTTAACAAGGTAAGCTTCACTTCTATACCCTTTCCTGATTCACTTTCCTCTTCCCTGTTCATATTTTATTCCCACGAAGTGCTTAGAGCTCGATGATCCTGGTTCGCACCCAACAGTCCTTCATAGCTCCTCTCATCACATATTCAGGCTCCCAACATGGCTACAGCATGGCTAAGCAGGCCTAACTTTATCATGGCAGAGGGAGATATAAGGGCCAACTCTGACACATCTTTGGTTGGTGCAGCTGCCTAATTTTTACAGTGGGCTTTAGGGGGCATTAATGTGTCTCTTTCCCAGAAAGTCAGTGTGGTGTAGTGGTTTGAGTTTTGGGTTAGGATGCTGGGAGACCAGGGTTCAAATCCCTGCTTGGCCATGGAAACCTATTTGGTGATCTTGGGCAAGTCACGCTCTTTCAGCCTCAGAGGAAGGCAAGGGCAAATCCCCTCTGAATAAATGATGCCAATAAAAACCTGTGATGGGTTTACCTTAGGGTTGTCAGAAATGACTTGAAGATGCACAACAACAAGAAATATGAATAACAAAATTTATGAGGTCACAGGTTTTGCTTATCATATTGTAAACACTAAACAGGATGTTAGCTATCATTTCAGAGGTACATGTGCTGGCCATAAAAAACAAAATCCAACAATTACCTTTTGGTGATAGCTTTATTGAGCCAATCAAAAGACACAAAATACATCATTCTAGTTTTCAAAACTCACAGACTTCATCTGGCTAAGATGGTAAAATAGCATCAGGGGAAAGAAAGTGAGTATATTGTCATCACAGCATCTATATTTTGCTTTGAAATATTATAAGAAGTGAGCCAGTGTGGCATAGTGGTTTGAGTGTTGGACTATAACTGAAGACCAGGGTTCAATTCCCATTTGGCCTTGAAACCCATTGGGTGACCTTGGGAAAGTGACATGCTCTCATCCTCAAAGGAAGGCAAAGGCATACCTCCTCTGAACAAATCTTGCCAAGAAAATCCCATGGGTTTCCATAAATTGGACACGACTTGAAGGCACACTACGCACACACGCAGAGTAAGCGAAAAAGTTATCCTTATAGTCATGAGCTGACTGGGAATGAAGGCAATAAAGGAGAGGCAATAAATGTTGTGATCTCTGTTTGACGTTATAGAGCATCCTCTTCTAACTGTATTTTACTCTGGAGATTATCACACAGAGAAAAAGGACAAAGAGAGAAGCGGGATGCTCCTATCATTATCATGTGATTGCCGGAAGATTATCACACAATGTCCCATGACATCATGCTCATCCCATCATTTTCTTGCCAGTGAAGTAGAATGGTCCTGTCACTTTTCATTAATGGTAGTTTCCCATTAATGAAAAGTGATGGGGCCATTCTGCTTCATTGACAGGAGAAGGACGGGATGAGTGCGACGTTGCGGGACGTTGTTTGAGAATCTTCCGGCAATCGAGCAATAAGGATGGGAACATCCCACTTCTCTGCCATCCTTTTTCTCCATGTGATCATCTCCTCTGTCCGATATGCGCATGGCACTATGATGAGTGTGGCTAGTCTGTTGGGATGATCTCTTTACAGTCAAATTGGGGGACAGGTTTAGGCCCTGGAATTGGCAAATCATGTCTGCAGAAGTCACATCAGGTTGCTTTACCTTGTGTTGGTGGAGGCAAACTCACAGAAAAATGAATTCCAGTGGATGAAATGTCAGCTTCCTTAAGCATAATAGGACCTTCCTGTTCAGCCGTTAAATCCGTTGTTATCATCCACCTGCAGTTATAAGTCATACAGGCCTGCACACATTGCTTCATTTTACTACCTCATTCTTTTGCATGTGTAGAGCAGAATTCAGTTATTAACACAATAATGGAATTGATTTAGTTTTGAGTAAACATGGATAAGATTACACCACCAATCTCTGACATCCGTGGAACTTAATCCTAACTCCTTTTAGATCCAGGTCTGCTTGTGTGTGTGTGAAGCCTATGCAAGATTGAAGGAAATTCAAATTGTCTTTTTGTGTTTATAAGAGTGGGCTTTTCTTATCCATGGGCTTGCCATCTGTGGATTTGAGCTTCTGCAGATGACAAGCCCATTGTTTTCAATGGGGGCATGTGCACACAGCCACATGCACATCGTGCCACCATAAGAAACAACAGGACTTCAAATCTCACATTTTTTGTTATCTGCAGAGGGTCTGGAACAGACTCCCTGCAGATATGAAGTAACGATTGTATAATTGCCCATGGGGGGTTGGACTGGATGGCCCTTGTGGTCTCTTCCAACTCTATGATTCTATGGGAGAGGAGGAAATTATGGAAGCAAATCTGCAGTTTTACTTCTACTGTACTGAGGCTCTTCCCCCTCCCTCAATAGGTGGTATGCTACAACCATCAAACTGCTTATGTTGCTAATTCATGTCCCTCTGTGATTATTATTGTTAGTTTTGCAGAAGTTCACAACTTCAGCTTGGTGAATCTGTTACGCTATATTCCTGCTGGGCATTTAGTGACTAGGAATTTGCACTGTCAGGCAACTTTGTTCCAAAAACAACACTTCTCCCACTGCAAGCCAGTTCTGTGTTGTTTTCTTTAATGCGTCCCAGAAGCTCCAGTGACCTTAGAAGCAAGATTTAAAAGCAAGAGGATGTACAAGGAGAGACTATAAGAGAAGAGCCAGTGTATTTCCCTGGATGAACTGAAGAAGACCTGTGTTCAAATCAGCATACAGTCTTTCTATAGCTCACTAGGCAATTTGTCCATATCAACTTACCACAAGGCTGTTGGTATAAGATTTTTTCTTTTTTCTTTTAAAAAATATTCTGATAATAAGATAATTAAGGAGGGAAGATGAGCCAATGCACATCACCCACAGCATCTTTATAAGGGCAGAATTTTTAAAATCATATAAGGAACAAATAAGAGCTACTGCTAATTGCTTATGAGAGAAAGCATAGACATGGTTATGAAATTATCTTAGGGTGTCTTAGAATTAAAATAGTGATTGCTGTTTATAAAATCTGGAGTGTACTGTCCATTCCTCATCAGTTCTTTTTCTGTTTCCAGTGAGCCTATTCACACATTGCAACAGGAGTGGTTTGCAAAACCAAACCAGAATCCTTATCTCCCATGTGTGTGTTGTATGCCTTCAAGTTGTTTCTGACTTATGGCAAACTCTAAAGTGACCTGTCATGGGGTTTTCGTGGGAAGATTTGTTCAGATGAGGTTTGCCATTGTCTTCTCTTGAAACTGAGAGCATGTGACTTGCCCAAGGTCATGCAGTGGGCTTCATGGCTGAGAGGGAATCGAACCCTGGACTCCAAGTCCAATAGGATGCCATAAATGCCTCCTGTTCATGGCATCCTGTGGGAGAAAGTCCACAGCCTTTATTTTTCTTTTTGCAAGCATGGGGCAATGTTTGTAGCCAATAGGTCTGGGCAACCTCTGTGTATGCCCCAGTTCATACTGATCTCTCTCCACATGATCCTATACATTGGAAGGATGACATAGAGAGAATGAAGAGAGGACAGTTCACATGTGTGAAACAAACCTCAGTGAAAATAAAATGCAACTTTCTTCTGCTGATAACTATTGTCTTTGGGGTGTGATGCTCCATCTGTGAGGGCCCATTCAACTATACAAGCCATCACTGGATGCTATAGTTAAGTACATGTGGAATTCTTCTTTTGTTTTTAGAATTTGTGGAAGCCCAGAGAAATACTTTTCCATGTGCTGTGTTCATCATACCATTGGAGAGGTGGACTCAGTAGCAAAGTACATGCTCTGCACATGGAAGGTCCAAACAGAACTACTGGCCATGCTGCTGGAGCTGTAGTACAAAATGGTAACTTTTTCAAGGCTGGTCCAACATCTATTTTATCACCAATAAAAGAAGGACCACATGATAAGTGATACAGAGTAGCCCTTGCCTGAGATCCTGAAGAGCCACTGTGCTAGACTATGGGATCTTCAAAGATGATAGTCTGACATGGAATCCTTTCACTTTACACACTCAAAGCACTATAATCCCACTTTAACTGCCATGGCTTCATCTTGTGGAATCCTGGGGTTGTAGTTTCATGAAGCATTTAGATTTCTCAGTCAGAGAGATCTAATGCCCCACCAACTACAAACTCCAGGATTTCACTGGAGGCAGCCATGGCAGTTAACATGAGATCATAGTGCTGCATAACTGTGTGGTGTAAAAGAGCCCTGTAACAGTCAGCTTCCTTTTGGACTTAGAAATTTCTCTCTGCTTTGTTTCTTGAAGCCACACCACACTGCAACCTTTTCATATCTGCTTTAGTGGTTGATTTAGCAGTTGATTGCAAGATCGGCAGGTTGGCAGTTTGAGGCCCAGGCACTGCATGATGGGGTGAGCTCCTGTCACTAGTCCCAGCTTCTGCCAATCTAGCAGTTAAAAATACAAGTTTATAAATAGGTACCACTTTGGTGGGAAGGTAAACAGCGTTCTGTGCAATCATGCTGGCCACATAATCACAGAGTAGTCTCTGACAACACTGACTCAGCTTAGAAGCAGAGATGAGCACCTCCCCCTACGGTTGGACATGACTTGACAACCTTGTCTACGGAGTTTATCACACGGGGGAAATCCCGTGCAGAAACGGGATTTAAAAGGTGGGGGAAACCCGCAAAAGCGGTTAGTTTTTCACACATATCATTGTTAAAATGGGGTTAACCCGAACGGAAAGTAGTCAGAAGCTACTTCTTTTTACTTTCGGGATTTTCCGAAAGTAAAAAGAAGCAGTTTCTGACTACTTTCCGTTTGGGTTAATTGCATTTTAGCAGCGACGTCGCCTGAAAAACTAACCGCTTTTGCGTTTTTTTCCTAATTTAAAGCCCCGTTTCTGCATGGGATTTCCCCCGTGTGATAAACTCCAATGGGGAATACCTTCACCTTTTTTTAGTAGTGATAGTATATGTATGGAAGAAGCTGTGTTTTCTGTGTTTGACAAGAAGCACTTGGCATTTCATTTGAGCTATGTTTTGGCACTTCAACTGCACAAAATACATCAATATACATCAAAGCTATGGGTCTCTGGCATGTTAGTGTTGCATGGATATGTGCCTGCAACTTGGTCTGTAGATTTTTTTAAAAAACATTCTGCATCTGGTGTTCTTGTTAGACTGGCCCTTATGTTTTTGCTGAACCCTCTAATGTGGCAATCCCTCCTGCCCCTCATGCTGTCTCAGGGTAAATTTAGCTGTTGTGACATAACCACAAAAAGATAATTTGCATGGTTTCGATATCCCCCCCCCCCCATAGTGGGCTTAAGAGTCCAGGTTTTAAGCAGAGGGAGTTTAGGTGATGACTACTTGTTAAATGGATACTATTTGTCTCTATTGAGACCAGAGTTTTTGTTCC